TAAGAACTCGTGTCTTTATATTTTACCCATTTATATGTCACAGTGAGATTTTCTTTTCATATCACAGCAACAGATCCAGTGGAAAGGCACATGAGTTAACAATAAAAAGTGAAGGGGAGACTTACAACAGTGACTGCTTCACATGCATGTAAAAAAAAAATGTGTAACTGAAGTCTGCCCTTGGCTTCCATCGGGGGTCATGCTGATGCACCAATGACCCTACGCTGTACTGCTTCTCCCATCATGACATATATTATATACCAATTCTTAGAGGTGATAACTGTATTTGGTTTCTTTTTTAGGCTTTCTTTCCTTTATCCTCACTGGGTAATACAGCCATTAACCTCCCTGGCGGTATTCCCGAGTGTAGCTCGGGGTAAAGTTTCAGTACCACAAGCGGTAACCCCTAGCTACACTAGGGAATACCATGCAGCGCTGCTCGGGATCTCTTCTAAACTTACCTTGTCCTGCGCTCCTGCGATGTCCCCTGTAATGTCCTCCGGCGGATGCTGACATCTGTCTTCTGGGTTCCGTCCCCTGCGATGTCAGGACGTACGGGAACGGAACGGCTGGAAATTTGAAAATTACAAAAAGTGACATTCACTAAAATAACATAGTAAAACATTACTGTATCAAACCATTTCACATACATTTTGTCCCTAGTGCTTTGTCCTGTACCCTGCCTGCATTTTTATTGTTCTTTCTGCCTTGGAAACTGAGAAATGTCCATGGCGTCCAAAAAGCATCCCTTTAGGTCAAAATCGGTTTTAGACCAGCTATAGAACAGCGATAGTAAATTAGAACTACTTGCAGAATTGAGTGATAATGATTCGTGGGGAAATTCGTCATCAGACACTGAAAGCGTTTTTGTGACTTTGTTTAGTGATGTGCAAACTTGGCGCTATATTTCAAATTTCAGTGTTTTTGGTTTGATTATATTATTAATTTAAATTTATTATTATTATATTATTTTTTATGATTATTTATTAAATTACAATTTATGATTTCGTGTTTCAAGTTTTATCATACCCGGGATGTTTACTAGACTCTTGTTTGGACAGATTTCAGTGAGTTATTCCTAAAAATTACAGGCCTACAATAAAAAAAAACATATTTCTATGCAATAAAATGTACCGCTTTGAGCACAGAAATATGGACATAATCAGACCGCTAGGGAGGTTAAGTCTAACATTTTTCAACAGAATAAGTTTGTTCTGCAGATGTAGCAATTTAGAATATTGAGACAAACTACTGAACACTGACAGGGGTGCTTACAATGGCCAGCTTTTATTTATTCATATAAAACCTTTATCCTAGCGTGAACTGGAGTTTGGCATTTGCAAAAATCTTGTAAAGATACTCACTTTTCTGGCCCAATCATGAACACATTAAATTCCATTAAAACCTGGATATTCAGTATTGAATGGATTCAGCAAGCACATTCTTTTTCCCTTGCTGTCCTCTTAAAATGCCAGCAATGCAGATCCAACCACCCCAAGTCCTCAAACCACACACAGAGTTCCATCTTGTAAAGGTCACCAAAGACTGTATAATGCGGTCTGATGTACCCCAAACAATCCGCATCTGCTGGCTGGGTCCTAAACATGAACAGTGTACTTTGGACAGTTCCTTTTTAACCAATGTAGTGGGGAGGCATCTGTGATGCCATGTTATCAGGGTAAACAACACTGAATGGACAAGGTTTTTTTTTTAATGTGAAATTGGTGTTCCCTCCAAGAGGGCAGCAAGTCTGCAGATAACTTCAGATGTTGTGTGTAGGCTAGGCTAGTGCAGTTGAAGAATGCTAGAAAAATTAGCCCTTTTTACTCAACAATTGTGGATTTAAATACATGTACCTTCAGTTGGAACTGGGGTCTTAGTCAAGGTAGAGGGAATTATGAACAGTTCCAAATACCAATCAATATTGGCACAAAACCTTCAGGCTTCTGTTAGAAAGCTGAAGATGAAGAGGAACTTCATCTTTTAGCATGATAACGACGACCCTAAAGCATACATCCAAATATACAAAGGAATGGCTTCACCAGACCTAAATCCGATCGAAAATCTGTGGGGTAATCTGAAGAGGGCTGTGCACAGTAGATGCCCTCGCAATCTGACAGATTCGGAGTGTTTTTACAAGGAAGAGTGGGCAAATATTACCAAGTCAAGATGTGCCATGCTGATAGATTCATACCCAAAAAGACTGAATTGTAATAAACATCTTTTGATTTTATTCAACAAAGTATTAGTTTAAGGGTGTGCACACTTCTGCAATCTTATTATTTTAGTTTATTATTTTTACTTCCCTCCACCTAAAAGATTTCAGTTTGTTGTTCAACTGAGTTGTACAGTTTATAGGTTACATTAAAGGTGAAAAAAGTTCTGAAATTATTTATCTTTGTCTCATTTTTTTTACATCACAAAAACCTGATATTTAACAGGGGTGTGTAGACTTTTTATATCCACTGTAGGTTCTTTTAGGCACAAACCCTAGGGGATTCTATGCAGCACTGAGGACCTCATACTGCAAACACTGGAGAAAATAAGGAGGGGCCTTGGCTTTTCATGTGACAACAAACCACCCTCCCTGCCTCTAGTCCACAGGGTATGAATAGCTACTACTGAGCTGTCTTGTCATAAAGAATGCTTTTCCAACACGGTGTCATCAAGAAATTTGTGCTACATGATTATTATCTAAACTTAATTATAAAAAGGGATAAAGTGTCAATTTTTAAAAAACTTATCAAAAACATAGTGCATAAGCAAAGTAGACAGCTCACCTCTTCTAGTGGCTTTTCACTAATCTCATACTGTCAGGGTATACTCCTTCCTGTAAAGTTCAAGTATATTAAAGCAAGGATCGGAGAAATATGAAGAGTGAGTTAGCAGTCTATAAATACAACCTTTTTCAAATTGATGTCATACATTTCTTGGATATTAGACACTGTTTTTGATAAGCTTATCTGGTCTCTGGTTCTCCCTACCTGGTTCAGCTTTTAATACATTTTGTGGATGTCAAAAAAGCTTGCTTTTTTAGCTTTACAACTCTACAACTGTATATTATGGCAGTTTAGATATTTATTGCTGTTTATTTCATTAATATTTTATAAAGAACCCATTAAAAATTTTAGATAAAAAAAGAGGAACAGAACTGTGAAAGCTGATCCCAAAGAGGCAGGCAGAGGGCTTGGAACGAGTATTGCAAGTAAAATTTAAAAAATTGATTTGATCTTTTCTTAATTACAGTATTACAATGCCTTGTTCTACCCTGTGTCTCTGTGTGGATGTGGACATCTTGATAGAGGCAGGGTTTTGCTTCCTTGTGTCAGAGCCTCCAGCAAGGAGAACAGTGAGCAGTAAAGTAGTGAGATCATTAACCCTCACTCCAAATCTTCTAAAACAAAATATCAGAGGTAGCAGTCTTAGATCTCATACTGCAGATACACAACTATGCAACTCTTTGCACATAAAGAGTATTTCTAATTTTAGGAGGAATCCCAGACTTTAAAAAAAGTACATTTTGCACTGCTTAGGCCCAAACTTTTTAAATGTTCCAAATCTTGACTTTCTGAGTTCAGTTCCACTTTAATGATTCGACCAGCACTTGTCAAATGAGCAAATATGTGTGTGTAGCTTGTGTGTCATAGGAAGACATTTTTTCTAAAATTTCCTACTTGCAAAGAACTTCCCTAGTTCAGCAGTTGATAATTCGATCTAGTATCCACTGAATGGTCTATGTATCTAAGAAAAATGTCAGAAAGCACATAAACAATGTACACCTTATCTTAGGAACAGAAACTACAATTTAATAACAAAGTGCAATAAACGTTAATTTTTGCTAAAATAAAATCATAATTTGCTGAATTGACTGGATGTAAAGAGCCATCCCTGGCAATAAGTGAAATTTCAGTGAGCTGCTAAAGGTACTTGGTAATTGCTGCAATTGTCCTAAAGACATAAAGATAATTTAATGTACCTAAAGCTGCCTATATACCACATATTAAAAATTTAAAATAAAAAAATCTAACAGATTTCTTCATCCATGCTATGCAGCACAGACGGATGAATCCCCCTTCTGAGCTACTGTATTTTTAAGACCCGGTGGATGCAGCCACTGTTCAGCCAACAACTTTCTGACTGGAAAGTCAGGCAAGTAAGAGGGCTACCCTGTAAGTGAATTCATTCAGTCATCAGGAACTGGCCAAAATTCACACAGTACATGGAAAGCGCAAGGTTGGGTGCCAGAATCCAGCTATCAGTTCACTGGGGCTTCCTAAAGTATGGACTGTGAATCACCCTCTCTCAACCTACTGCATTCCATGTGTTTAAATTGTCATTTTTTTTCTTGGGCTCATGTGACACTAGAGATCCTAGTGAAAAGTATACCTTATGGTGCTGGTCCAGGCTAAGGAAGGAAGGAAAAGGATCACCCCAACGGCAAGTGAGAAGAGGGGAGCATAAGTCCGAGCGATTCCAGTGATTACAAGTGAAGAGATGGACACTGATCAACTGACCCCAGGAGTCCAATGTTAAGGAATGGCCTCAGCCGCTGTACTGGCCACGCCCTCTGATGTGTTTCGCTCCCCCCCACCAGGGCTTGGTTACAGAGGAGAGAGCAGCATCCATCCCTTCACTAGTATTGGCTGACACTAGAGATCCTGTCATTGGTGGAAAGCATAGTGTGGCATCTCACTGTTTCCACTAGCAAGGGAGTGATGCATGAATAGGTTTTTCTGCCTTCTAAAGTGATTCAATCACTGGCAAGATTTCTTCAGCAATATTATCACTAGTGTGCTATGGTACTGACATTTCCTAAGCAGGGGTTCTCATATTACAAAATTACTGACTGGATAAACTACAATAAGCTGGTAATTGACAGCAATGTCAGAATGAAAAACCAAGGTCCTGAGCAAGCAGACTAAGCTCCCTGTATGCATCTCCAAATTTAACATTCAGTTGGGAGTGTACATGGAAAGAATAAGGCTAAAAATGTTTTGTATTTATATCTGAAAAAGAGGAACGACTCTTTCTATGTTACATCTGCACATAGGACACATTTTGTTAGGAAGAGCCTGGTAACACAGAAAGCAGCAACATACATGCCCACAAGGCAAGATCACACATTCTCGTGTTCTCGAAATGCAGATCACACATAATCTTTCAGAATCCACTGGCTCCTCATCAAAGTCCGGAGGCTGAATCTGCTGCTCATCCAAGCGGTCTTGTCTTTTGTGTTTCTCCTTATATCTCTGATAGGCTCGATACATGGCAATACATACCACAACAGTCCCCAAAGCTCCAAAGAACAAGGCTGCACCCCTCCAAAAATGAGCTATGGACTCTTGTTGATGCAGTAGGTCTTCATATCCAGAAAGGGTTAAAAAGTATGTACATCCATCTTCAGGAGCCTCTAATGTCATTTCCCCTTTATTATTCAGTGTCAGTTTTCCTACTCCAGTTAGTATGGTGCCCACAGGCAGAATCTCCTCTATTTCCAGCACGCCTGTAGGCTTTTCCCCACTAATGTAGTGCCCTAGTAACTCACCTAAGCCCAAAGAGGCATGATGAAACCGCTCATGGACAATCTGTAATGTCAAACCAGAGGCATTCTGTGGATCACAAACTAGCACAGAGAACTCATTACCCTCCAGAGGACACAGTTGGAAGGGAATTTCCTTTACACGCTCGTAAATTACTCGTTCATATTCACTCCTAGAAAAAGAAATCATGTTAAGTAAGTTGCAGTCCTCAGACAGAAGACAGTCACCTTAGTATTTCAAAGCTGCACCTTATCTTCTGCATATGTTAAGGAACAACCTGCTAGCAAAGGCGCCAGCATATGAACACAGAAGTCCAATTAAAAAAAAAACAAAGCTTTTAAAGCTAGACTTCAATAAATGCTGTACATACAAAATCAGCTTGAAGTAAGATTCTCTTTGTTTGCAAACCTAACTTACTACCTTTTTTTGGAAACATTTAACTTGGTCCCATAATGCATTATTTCAGTAACACTGCTTGTTTTTAATAAGCTAATACCTAACAAATACATCTAGACTAAGGTAAAAAATTAGATTAAAAGTAAGCATTCTAAGAGATATGGAAAAATTCTGCAACCTCCTGCCCAAAGTAGTACGCCGACTAGGATACCGTTAGGGAGTGCTCAGCTCAGCTGCACACCCTTTGTACCAAAGTTCATTCTCTGGAATCTAAGGAGGAGGATGTGGAGAACAGCAATCACAGAAACAACCTTTATATCCTGGGGCTCCCTAAAGGTGTGTGGGGTCAAGACCCAACATCTTTTACTGAGCGCCTCCTTTGCACTCTGCTTCAGCAAACACTATTTTTACCTTTCTTTGTGGTGGAGCATGCTCATAGGATGCTGGCTGTTAGAGGCCCCCCAAGAACCCTGCTGTGTACTTTTATTCTGCGCCTCCTTAATTTTCGTGATTGGGATACTGTCCTCCTTGAGGCAAGGAAGCAAGAGTCCCTTTGCTACAATAAGCCATGCCCCTGCTCCCTCTTCGCAGGAGTTTGACTGATAGCAGCAGCAGCCTATTGCTCCACTGCCCTCAGTTTCTCTAGTGAAAGCAGGAAGTGAGACCAGAGGTGCTGGATGCGGAGACAGCGCTAGAGTGGTGACATGGAGCCAGGTAAGTGTTAAGGGACAAAGGAGGGGGTAGAACAAATAGTGAGGGTTTTTTACCTTAATGCAGAGAAAGCATTAAGGTAAAAATGTTTAGACTTTAGTACCATTTTAAAGCACAAAAGGTTTCCCCTAAATGTATTCCTCAATAGCCACAAAAGATAACAATCCACTTTGTGTGGACAAAATGCCTTTGAAAACCCAGATATGATCTTGTAAAAATATAATCACTGGGTTGAACACAGCCTGTGCAGAAGGCACAGCTTCAGGTGGAACCCAGCAGTTTTCACCCACCATGAGGGCTGGACATAAGACTAGTCACCCTGCACAAAAAGAGAGAGCAAGAGTGAATAGTCTTTATTACAGAAAGTTCAGAGTTGCAGATTACTGCATGAATCTGAAGTAACCACACAAAGGACACCCAAATTTAATGTTGTATTTAGACAATATTTGTTGAGCCTAGATTTTAGCTTTACATGATCCAGTCATCTTGTATTTTTAGTCCTTCATGGAATTAATTACTTTAATTTTATAGCCTTTGTGCTGGACACACTTCACCAAACCCCCGCATCCTACTCCACTGGGCATTCAAACTATTAAAATGTTACTGTTATTTCAATTGCTTCTTTAAAACTCATCGTGTCTATTAAAACTCACTAGACCCTTTCTCATCTTATCTCACAATGTAGTAGGAAACTACTCTCACCTGGCTCATTTCATCTATACCATTCCAAAACCTCTGTTTTTCACCACAGTGAAAGAATACAAAAATAAGAGCTGCTAGGAGGATATAGAAGAAATAAGCAACATAAGATTAGTTTGTAAGTAAATTTTGAATTCTAATGAGAGAAAGGTCTTCTGGATTATAATAAACAAAGTGCATTTTAAGAAAGAATATAGAAATAACCGTTAGCGTTTTATAAATTGTGCAGGTAGTCTATATGAAGTGATTGTATAAGAATTGGCTGTGCGGACTCACCCACTCAGCTGAGTTATATCAGTATGTAGGGGCAAGAGCATAGACTGGAATGTAACTGTCCCTGAGTACCTCTCAAACTTGGCTGTGAGTCTATACAGCCAATGCGTATCCATTCACTTTATATAGGCTGCCTGCACACAGCTCAGTGCTAGTAGAAAAAAGAAACAAATAACTGCTCATGCTATATGGGGGTGAGCACCTATGTGAATGAGCCCTTTAACCTACAAGTCCTAATATGACAGTATGGCTCTCAGCAGGCAGACTTATGACTGGAAGTTCTTGGATAATTACATAACTGTTAAAGACATCATTTCACTCTTGGAGGATGAACATTACAGGTATGTCACACATTATAAGCTACCTTGGTGAGGGACAATCATTACATATGGTATAAATCACTGTCAGGCAGAGGGTTAAAAGGTGCAAGCCCTTGGCTTCCTATCCATCCATCATTAGCTATCAAGTCATTGACATGAATAAGGGTGCAGGTCAGGTGTCCTGATAATTCACTGACTGCATATGCTTGTGCAGAGTTATAAAATAAATACTGAAGCAAGGATAGGTAAAAGGCTGCATTTGCACTGACATTTAGCCACAGTGCAAATCCCAGTGGCAGAAAGCTATTGTTTACTGATACAGGAATGGTCAGCTGCATGTGGGTAGGAATTGTGGCTCAACGTGCTTTGTGTGGGTCTGGGATTTGTACCATGGCTAACCACCCAAGTGACTACAGCCCAACAGCTCCAAAGCATGCACCTTTAACAAGTCAGTTCTAGCTGCCCTATTTTTCATAGGTTCCCTTTAAAGATTAAAAATAATAAAAAAAAGTTGTTAGGAAAACGTGTGTCGCAAATTTAAAAAAAAAAAAAAGCACCCCAAAATACAACAAATACAATTCCCGGACTCAAGGGATTAGAAGTGGGGTACCTATTTAATAAAGTTTGACATAATGAGACAGTAAAATAGTGCATTAGTGACCACCATATATAGTGTTTTCACTGGTAAAGTGAACTATAATTTAGTGAATCTGTTCTTAAGAAACTCCTGTATGGAAGTCTTGGAAAATGTAGTGGTATTTTGGATGCATCATTCTCCTACATAATATGAAGGATGTGGATCTACTCACATTAAGATTTTCCAAAAAGCTAGAAACCCTCCCAGTACAATTATGAGAACCACAAGCTGGGGCTCTCATTACCACCCTCCTGCCATTCAAGTGCAAAACAATGACCCATCATTGCTACTGTTTTACCTCAAAACGCTCATCTTACCAGCTTCTGGTTAGGCTGTTCCAAAACAAGAGGTGCTCTACGCTTTGGTGCTTCTGAATTACAGCCTGGAGATAGGGATGGCTCTCACTAATGATAGCTTTACCAACTGCCTCCACCCTTCCTGTAAAGAAAAATAAATAGGACTACTTACTCTGTTAGTGTATAACAAGAACAAGAAACTACACGAATGCAAATTGGGGATACAAAAAGTAAGAATAGCCACCTATTGCTGAGTTTGGTATAGCAGTATAAAAAATACAGTTTCACAACACCATCCGTAGGTTACAGATTCCTTGAAAGAAAAGTCAGCTAGTCTATTGCTTCTTTTGCTAACTGACAATTATGGCATGGTTTCAAGTAAACAAAAAAACGATGTAACTGTCACGTCATCAATTGTATACATTTTAGTATACCCCACCATTAAATAAAATCATTCAGAACTCACAAGCCATGCACAATCAAAGTGGATAAAGGACAGAGATAACAGTCTGTTAAATGTTAAGGGAAATGTTTAAAATTCCATTAAATAATAAAGTGGCGCTCCATGCAAAAAGGCACTACACAGTTCAAATATTTACTATTTTTTCTACCATGTCATTCTGGTTGGAAATGATGGTTATACGCATATCTGAGTAAGATCAATACAAAGCCCTTTTGAACAAAAAAAAAAACCTTTAAATAATATTTACTGCACTTCAGTTTAAAGTGGTTCTAAAGCCTAAACATTTTTTACATTAATGCATTCCCTGCATTAACGGCTTGCTCACCGCCCTAGAGTAGCCATACTGTTACAGAGTGGGGATGTCAGTGGCAGTAAGTTCCCACCCAGTGTCAGAATATCCGCTGCAGTCCCGCTATAAGTTGCTGATCGCCGCCATTACTAGTATAGAAAAAAAAAAATTCCAGTATATATACTGCCATTTGTAGATGCTATAACTTTTCACTTTCACTTTAAACTAATTAATTTACACGTATTGGGTTTTTTTTTTTATAGCAAAGACGTGTTGTACAATACATTTTGGCCTAAATGTATGATGAAATTTGATTTTCTACATTTTGTTTTATTTGATAGATTTTACAGCAAAAGGTCAAAAATATATATATTTTTTTTCAAAATTGTCAGTTCTCCAGGTGTGAAGATAGACTTTACGAGAAGTCAACAAGTCGGCTTCCTAGCCTTCAAGAGGATATGGATTACAGAATCTGAAAGGCCCCTGTCCCTAAGAAGTGTGCAGGGCTTCAACAGTCATTCCAGCCAGTGATTGAGAAGCAGACTGGAACACTGGGCCTTAGGACAGGAGGCCCAGACAATCTGAAAGGGTCCACGGAGCAGTTGCCAAGAGCTCGAGTATGACGTAGTACTACATTTTCTCTAATGCAGTGCAATGAGGACCACAGGATGCCTTCCTTCTCAATCCTGCAAAGTAGATGAGGAAAGCATTGGACTGGAGATCCACCATGTCAGGGAAAGTCTGGCCTTGAGGTTCAGACAAATCAGGCGGTCCAAAAACTGAGGCCATTTGTCCAATGCAGACAAATAGTAGATTTGAAGCAGTCTGGAGTGAAACTGGGAATATGGCACCGCCTCGAAGGAGGCTACCATTAGACCCAAGACTCTCATGCATGCTTGAACCAAGGGATTCTTCATCTGCAGGGCCCTAGCAAGAGAATGAAGGAACAGAAATTTGTCCAGAGGTAGAAAGATTCAGGACAAATTAATTACAGGCATCAGACCAAGGCATTTCAATCTGTGATATGGGTCCAGCAACAAATTTTGTAGGTTGGAGGATCCAATTGAAGCATTTTAGAACCTGCAACTTTTGTTGGATGTTGGCT